AAAGTACCGATTAAGATGGATGTTGGTTTTCAGAGAAAAAGTGATACTGTCGTGGTACACATTTTTGTTAATGTCTTTTTCGAAAAAGGTAAAAAAAGGATTAAATTCTTCATCCAAAATTTTTTTTTTTTTTTTTCCTTGCAGAATAATTCACAGGAATTACAGGTGGGATATTATACATTTCACTGTTTTCTTTTTTTTTAAAATATTTTTGCTTAACTTTTTCAAATATTTTTTTTTTCTTTCTTTCGTCCTTAATATCATCGTTGTATGTTTTGTAAATCTTTTCGCTCCTTTTAATTATCTTCAAGTAAAACTTGTTGTTCACTATGAGACTATAATCTGAAGGGACAACGCGGGGAGAGAAAAAAAAAAAGTTACAAATTATGGCCAAGTTTAGCAGCTTTGCAGTGTGCACATTGTGTAATATACCAATTGTCATATGAATAAAAAAAGGGGGCGGTGGAATTCGCCAAGTGGGAAGGCTCGAAAAGACTAGCATTATTATAAAGCTATGTTAAACGGGAGTATTAATTGGAGCAGAGGGCAAGGAGCCTGTCCAGTTCACGCTATTCTCTCCAACTTTGCAAGAACAGTTACAGTATAACGTACGAACTGGTTCACTTTTTCAATGTGTGCATTTATATTATGACTGCGTCAGTGTTTACTCGCTACATTATTTCCCTGTTTGCAATTACCTTCTTGCCTTATTCCATTTTTAATCAAATTCGTGGTCAGTTCGTTGGGCTCGCTGATGGGCACGCTTGAGTCCTTCTTGTTCGATATTCTCCTTTTCACTGTTGGCTGCGTTTGTTTCGGGTAAAAATTTTGCCCATCGTTTATGCAGAGGCTGCTGAAGCGGTTAGACAGATTACTATTTCGGATTTCTTGGGGTGCAGTAGGGGGAGGGGGGAGGGCATAAATATGAAGGCAAAGAAGTTAGTACGGTCTTACGGTTGTGCAGACGAACTATTGCACCGATGCACTACTGTACAATACACCGCTCCTTCTCTCACACTCCACATTCCCCTCATCCCTTGCGTCACCAGACTCACCGTTGAACAGGGGGTAGTTCAGGATCCAGTCGAAAAACCTCTGCGATGTGTTTCGCTGTTTTAAATTGTTCCTAAAGCTGAAGTACCTATCCGATAAGCTTTCTTCCATGATGATTTTGCGTCTTTCAAAATATTCATCACAGGGCTCAGTGAGGATTTAACCTATGTCCCATACTGTGCATTATGTTTCATACCTTGTGTCGTCCTTCTTCCCTTTTTTTTGCTAATCAGGGCAGTTTTGTATTTTTTATTTTTTTACTTTATTTACCTTATTACTTTATTATTATATCATTTTCTTCGTTGTATCCTCCGTAGTTGCGCCCCTTTATAATTTTGCAATCTTCCCTTTTCACCAGTTCATTGGCAAAAAAACGGAATGGCCACACACAACTCGGTTGCTTAACCATGTGTTAGAGTATCATTGGGGGCCTATATGGGGCATTATAAAAAGAGAAAAAAGAAAAATATGGCTATCTTTTTTTTTTTTTTTTCCCTTACCTTTATTTGGCATTTTATTAGGCAACTCAACCCTTCTTTTTTACAATGAAATATGCGTGCATTAACGTGCTAGGATAAACCGAAGCGCAGTTCTGTTTATATACCTTTGTGCACTTGACAAAAATGCAATTGCCTGAATTATTTTTTCTCCCGAGAGTTGTTACACGTTACTGTACCCATATTAAGAGCAAATTAGATACGTGTCACATTTAGCACGTTGACAGGATCAATTCGGGATGAGCTGAACATAAAACACAATGAGCCAATCAACCCATCCAAAATTTGCACCACCCTAATATAGATATACCAAACGAACAAACAGACAAAAAAAAAGTGTACAATTGTGCATTGCCTTCCGCGTTAGAAGCCCTTGAAAATATCCCCCAAGGGGAAACATGGGCTTATGACACATTTCACCTTCCAAACATTTTCCCCCTTTTTGGTCACTATTTTGTTGAATTAAAAATGGAATATATTTTTTGCCCATATATGAGGATCGTTGTGATGTTTTTTTTTTTTTTTTTTGGAAATTTTTAAAAGAGCCCAAATCTCTTATTGAGAAGAGACTTTTCCATTGTTAACATTTCGCATGTGATATAAAAGCTCCAAAGTGTGACAGCAAAAAAAAGGGAGAGTTAAGTGTTCAGTGTTTGTTTGCTAACTGCTGAACCGCTACACACAGAATAGCTTAAAAATGAAAAAAAAAAAAAACAAATATTTTTAAGTCTTTTTTTTTGTTATTAAATTAAGCAAGTAGAATTCACAAAATGGTGAAGGGGAACAATCTCATGCAGAACGGAATTGTGAGAAGGGTTTTCTCTATGTTGGTCTGTTGGGCAAGTAAAGCAGAAGATGCATCCTTATGTATAAGGATGCTTAAATGGAGAGTGTTTCGTGTTCGGTGTGGTAATACTACGGTGTTTTTTTTAAATATTTGTAAAGGGGAAAACGTTAAACAGCCTAACACCGCATAACACGGCGTAACAGAGAGAGAGGTGCCGAATGTGGATTAGCTACATGTAAGCACGTGCGTGATGTGCTAGCGTCGACGTATTTGTGTGTATAAGCCGTGCATGCACACACACATAAATATACTTAGGGGCATCATCTACGTGGAGGTATGGCAATTCGGTGCGAACGGTATGGAAGGTGCTCCGCTAAAAAATCCTCACCTTTTATATACACCAGTGAAATAGCAGTAAACCTGACACATATATGTGCCATCACGTAAGTACGCTCTTATGCTCATACATTTTACCAATTTGCGCACTAACAAAATGAGTAACCCTTTTGGGGAAAAAACATATATATTACCATTTAAAAGGGGGGCACTTTTAATTTGTCTTCCGCAGCTTTAAGCAATATAGCATATTCTATATACACCGCGGGAGCTATTTTGACAAAAATTCCATTTAAATATTTCCACGCCATACACAAAATTTTCTCTACACACATGATTTCTGACTCCCAGTCTATTCGACAGTGACATGCTACTGCACACCGGTTGGTACGTGTACATATAATATCTGCGTGTGTTTCCCCTTTTTTTTTTTTTTTTTGTTCCAAAATGACCCTTTAGCGTTCCTCCTCACGTGTGCGTAGTATGCTCCACGGGTGAAAAGGATTACATTACTCCTATCACTTTTTTTGTTTACGTACATATGCCATAGAGTCACATTCCTGTCAATTTCCCCACCCAAGGCATTTTCGCTTTATCTTATCCATTCACAAGAAGCGCCTCTTCCATACTGCCTCTACATGTTCTGTAAATTTGACCACGCTATTGAAATCAGTTATATTTTTTTTTTATTATTCCCCTTTCGCATTTAAAACAAAAAAAAAAAAAAAAAACAGTGCATAGGCATCGACTGAGCCAATACATAAACGATGTTGCGAGTGTTATAAAAAAAAAAAAAAAAAATTACATTTTACGTATTTCAACGCGTAACGACATATTCCCATTTTGAGAAAATAAGAATCAACTTTTTCTCTGTTAAGCCTTTTATAAATTCACATTTGGGGGTTCTATGACCGCTGTTGGTACCTAAAAATTTTATTTACCTACTGGGGGAAGCTGTTTTTAACCAACTGTGTGAGCTGAAAAGAAGGAGTGGACTGCATAAAATATATACATACGCAAATAATACGTATATAACGCATAAGGACGAGTTTCTACATACATAACTAAACGCCCCGTTGCCCACGTACACGCGTTCTACCTACGTACATGTGCGCTTACATACAAATGCACATGCCGTGAAAACTCGCGATTTACATGCCATCAGCGTGATTGTTTCGCTTGAACAATTTAAAAAGAAAAAGAAAAGAAAAAAAAAAAAAGCACAAACACAAACGTACAAATATACATAGCAGCGCCACTGAGTGACATCCACCCATCACTACCATAGGTAGCCGAAACAACGTACATAGGAATAAAAAAGTAAAACGGTGAGACGATAAATATATATATATATATATATTCATGCAAAAAGAGCCAGTCAGTAATGATAAAAACATATTTTAAAAATCATTTTCTAGCTTAAATATGCATATGTAAATGGTGTACATGCGTATAGGTGTTATAGCATATGTATAGAGATATAATTGTGGGTGTAGGCACGTGTATGTATAGGAGCATATGAGCACAACAGTGTATCCTTTGTACACGCGCGCGATACACTGTCATATGAACAAAGGCATGCACATATGGAAAGCAATCCCAATTTAGATCACTTCTATATTCTACATTTTCAGGCAATCATTCAGCTCTCATAGAAGAAAACAACCCGCAAGAGCCTAAACAATTTCGACCCATAGTAAACCCAAAACAGTAAGGCATATAAAAGCACCACATTCTTCTTTCCCCTGTCTGCGTATGCTCCCAGTGTGTAAACTGCTTCTACATCGTTGCCGCAGTGCATAACGTGGTGCAAATGAAGGAGGGGGGAAAGTGGGAACAAGGTCTATATGTGAATCTATAGATGTACATACACAGGTGTTGGCGTAGGTAGATCTTCATCCCCTACGCGGAATACTCGTCTCCCCAATTATTTCCAATAACTTGCCCCTTTTGGCAGATGTCAGAAGAAGCTGTAGCTCTAGTGGTTGACAATGGAAGTGGAATGGTGAAGTCGGGATTGGCAGGTGACGATGCACCTAAGTGTGTATTTCCATCAATTGTGGGAAGGCCCAAAATGCCAAACATAATGGTAGGAATGGAACAGAAAGAGTGCTACGTAGGCGATGAAGCACAAAACAAGAGGGGAATACTAACCCTAAAATATCCAATTGAACATGGAATAGTGACCAACTGGGATGACATGGAAAAAATTTGGCACCATACATTTTATAACGAGTTAAGAGTTTCTCCTGAAGAGCATCCAGTCCTGCTGACAGAGGCACCTTTGAACCCGAAGACGAATAGAGAGCGCATGACGCAAATTATGTTTGAGTCCTTTGACGTGCCGGCTATGTATGTTAGCATTCAGGCTATTTTGTCCCTGTACGCTTCTGGGAGGACAACAGGTAAGATGTGGCCGTACGAGGGTTTTCAGCAGGAGATTGTTGTACGTGTCCCGCCCCCCTATTTATGACCCCTTTAACAATGTTTCTACATGGACTCTACACCGACTCTACACCTTTTCACACCGCAGGAATCGTGCTGGACAGTGGCGACGGAGTGAGTCACACCGTTCCAATTTACGAGGGCTATGTCCTTCCGCATGCAATCAACAGAATCGACATGGCGGGGCGAGATTTGACCTACTACATGATGAAGCTGTTCACAGAAAGAGGACACACATTCACAACCACGGCAGAGAGAGAAATCGTTCGAGATATAAAAGAAAAATTATGTTACATTGCACTAGATTATGATGAGGAATTAAAAAAATCAGAAGCACAGTCCGACCAGATAGAAGAAATATATGAATTGCCCGATGGAAATTTAATAACTGTAGGTAGCGAAAGGTTCAGGTGCCCAGAAGCTTTATTCAATCCAACGTTAATAGGAAGGGAATGCCCAGGACTACACATCACGGCTTATCAAAGTATAATGAAATGTGACATTGACATCAGAAAGGAACTCTACAATAATATTGTTCTTAGTGGTGGAACTACTATGTATAATAATATTGGGGAAAGATTGACCAAAGAAATGACCAACTTAGCTCCATCTTCCATGAAAATAAAAGTTATTGCGCCACCTGAGAGGAAATACTCTGTGTGGATCGGAGGGTCCATTTTGTCCTCATTGTCAACCTTTCAGCAAATGTGGATAACAAAGGAGGAGTACGAGGACGCTGGGCCTAGCATCGTTCACAGGAAGTGCTTTTAACTTCGCGCAAAGGGAATATTCGCGTTAGGTAGCATATGTTGGCATGCCAAATGGGCACACGAAAAGGGACATATATCCCTACGTGTAATCACGAACACCCGAGCACAGCGTAATTAGGCAACGACGAACGTCTTCTCCCCCACTAGCAGCAATTAATGTATCATAGACTCCTTACCAGATCAAAGTTTTTATGTTACGCATTTTTAAAGAGTGCGCCTCTTGCCCATCAGCGAAAAGGTCTACACAATGCACATGCCTTCGGGTATCGAAGAGTTTAATTTATTCCCGCGATTTGAAATACGTTAAGTTTATTTTATGTATATTTACATGAAACGCGTTTATGCAGCTGTGCTTTTACACATCCATTTTCTTTTTCATAATGCAATTTTGGCCCTATGTGTTTTATGTTACCCGGTGGCCCCCCCCACACATACATACATACATACACGCACCCGGGAGCATGTAGAAACCTTCGTCCATGCATACAGGCAACCGTCCCCCACTTTTTCTCTGCCAAGTGTCCATTTGAATCCTATTTAATTTGACATTTCCCTAAAATAATATTATGATCTTTATTTTCATTTTTGAAACGTATTTGTTTAAAGATTAAATTTTTGGTGATTGCATAAGTGCATTTGTTTTAGCATATTTCCTTTTTTTTTTTAAATCAGTTTGTTATTTTATTTTATTTTATTTTTTTTGAGCGCAGATGGGGAGGGGGTAGCGTGTGCCCATGTGCTCATAAAATTATGTATGCTTATGCCGCCCCTGTGCCTACCAGGGGTGTACCTCCGCGAGGGCGTCCGTCCTATCATACTTGAGCAGGAGACGCATATACATATATACCCATTCGCACATTCACCCATTCACACGCTAGCCTCGGGGGGAAAAGGAGTGTACGCAGAAATAGACATACCTAAGCAGCAAGTTCTATTTGTCACTCCATAACGAGTGTATGCATATACATGCACACCAGGCTTCAATTCACACAACTTTTTTTTTTTTTTTAAATACATTTTTTTATGACCACAAATTTGTGCTTTAATTAAGGAAAACTTACACGAATAAGCAGTTTAATACAAATCGTATATACAACATAGACTGTGTCCCCAGGAGTCGCCAAGCGCTAAGTGGGGTTTAAAAGGGCGAGAGCAAGGGTGCGCACAAAAAAAAAGGAAAAAAGGGAAGCAGCAAAATTGCGCAACGGTGTGAGGCAACCCCACGACGCTGTGCTATTCAACTAGCCCCTTTAAATTGCGCCAAAAGTGTGGAATGCAAAAATTCAACTTGGTTTGGCCCATTTTGCAATTTTGTTCCCCTCACATACATGTTCTGCACTATTTTGTGCCTATACGAGTTTCCTCCTTACCAGAGGTAGGCCTCACCCTAGCTGCTTCCCCCGTCGATCGTGCAAGTAGAACGTGTTGAGAACCATCAGGGGAAACAAAATCGTCGCATCGCCAAAAACTTTAACATGGTTGTTCGTGTGACCCGCCTTAATCTTTCCCCACGATAAAGCTTCCGTAGTATTTGCGCCACTATCACTGCCGTCGTACTCATTAGCAGTGTTTACATACACTGCAAAATCGGCTCCATTTCTCATCAAATTGGCATTACACACGTGATGTTTGGGTAGGCCTCCTCCCAAAATGATAATTCCAGACTTCTTACAATTTAGCGCCAAGGAGTTAATCTTCTTAATATCCTTTACAATGTCTAAAATGAGATTATTTTTTATTTTTTTACCATAGTTGTGAAAAAATAAATTATCCCCCAGGGATCCATCTGTTAACCCGGGGCAGAATACAGGGATGTCATTTTTATAGCACCAATATATGAGGGAACTTTCGTCGTTTATTTCCTCTCCCAGTTTGTGTATGAACTCGGAGGGGCTCAAGTAGAACATGTCACATTCGTCTTCATCTGAGCTGTCACAAGGGGGGTTGGAATGCGGTGATGGTGTATGTACCGATGACGGCCCATTTTTTTCCTCCTGCTCTCTTCGTCTCTTCCGCTTGTCCAACTTCTTCAAAAAGAGCTCCTCATTCTTTCTGTTCTGTTCGTGCAACATTTTATTCAGTAGGGGCTGCAGCCAGTCCTCAAATTTGCAGTAATTATCATTGGGGACAATTAAATTGCCTATTCTGTTCCATCCTTTTTTCCTTAATTTTTTCCCGTTGAGGTTAAAATCTCCCAAGTATGTTTTGGAGAAGCATTTGATAATGTCTTCCTCCACTCCCCCAGCCGTCGTCACCACCACGTCTATGAACTTCTTCTTTGCGAGGTACACGAATATTTCACGCAGGCCGCTAGATATCATGTTTGAGGTAAAGGACAGCCAGATTAGGCATTTTTTTTTTTTTGGCAACGCATGATGCTTGCCATCGCTGTCTACATCCTGGTCATCCTGTATCCCTTCTTCTCCCTCTGCATACTTAAAATGAATCATTTTGTTTATCTCGTCAATCCCTATGCCCATGTTGGTAGCCTGAAACCCCATGTACTTGTACTGATTCACAAACTCGTGCAAATTTACTTCTTTTTCAAAATTAATTCCTTCCACGATGTCTGTGTTTTCTGGAATTTTGTTTGACTTGACAAACACGGACGACTTGGCGTCCTCGATTCCGCTTTTCTCATCGCTGCTCTCTCCATCGTCGCTTTCGTTTCTGATTTTGTTCACCTCCTTAAATGCCCCTTGGTTCGTCATGCTGGGGTAGACTTGTAAATGGGATACACAAACAGGTTCGCAGTGTTGCTATCGGGGGGAGACGGATCAGTTGATCTTACATATTTGAGTACAGTCACATATGCGCGGCACCTATACAGTATATAATGTACAACTGCGTCTTCCAAGTCCCTATCTTGCCGTTTGCTTTTTATTACCAGAGTGACAATCTCTGTTGATACTTTTCTTTTTCACCCTGTACCTCGGACAAAACTGTTCATGGTATTCTGACTACCACGTTTTACCTTTCGAACTATGCAGAGGCTTTATAATGACTACTAACATGCATTTTGTACGTCCTTATGTAACGTTTGTTTGTGTATAGCATCCAATGTAGGTAAAAGCCCAGTTGGCCTTTTATAGACTATTCATTATGGAGTAAATTCCAGTTGGCAGCTCTTCAAAATCGACTTATCCTTTTTTGTTCTATTTTCGCAATTTTGACCAAATCTGCTGAACCTCTTTTTTTTCTTTGTCCCTATTTTTGCATCAGAAGAAAATTCCTTTTTTTTCTGTACCAATTACGGTTTGCTCCGGTTTTTTATTTTTTCCCACATGGAGTATTCATTCATACGTGCGCCGAAGTAGTGCGAGAAATGTAGGGGCAAAAAAAAAAAAAATAAATAAATAAAATAAACGTGGCGATAACGCGAGGAAACACCTGTTAGATGTAAGATGGAGCCTTTCCAACGCGCCCTTAGGAACGGGAATTTATTACCTGCCTATTTTTTTTTTTTTTTATAGTGCTTTTAAAAAATAATTGCGCGATATTGTGCTCATTTTTTCCTTTTTGCCCATTTCTCGTAAGTGGAAATCCATTTTATAATCCTTTCTCAAATTGTGTAGCGTTTGCATATAACACAGCGCAAAACAGGTGACCCATCAGAGTAGTAAATTGGTCGAAAGGGGAGTAATATTAGGGTGAGCCCATGAAGCTGTTCAAAATTACAAACCAAGTCCAGGTGTGACTAGCAAAGAGGGGGGGTGCATTTAGATACGTGTACGCTACGGCTCTCATGTGTTTATGCTTACTGGGTTAAGGTAAGCACCCGCTGTTGTCCAAAGCTGCGCCCGACGGTATGTCCTGCTCCTACACAGAGGAACAGACCGATCGGATTGAGACAGAACGGGAATTTACATTTACAAACATTAAGTACACGTCGAGGCAGAGCTGGGAATATCCCTCCTGATGGACACGCATCATGTGAACCTGAATTTTTTCCCGCACGATGAGGAAGAAGAAAAGGTAAACATAGCAAGTAATTTCAACCTGTACTGCTCGCGCGAGCTCCTTAAACAGTTAAAGCTAAATGAAAATGACAACGTTGTTATGTGCCACACGAAGGCAGGAAGGAAGGCATATGTCTGCTGCTGCGTGAAGGACTGTACTGAGTTGATCTCGAAAAAGCAGACAAAGTGGAATGACGTCTTTGCGAATACATTTTTGTTGAACAGTTTGAAAATTGGCATATCGAGCGAAAGTCAGGAGGGGGAGCAGCAGGATGGTTGTGAAGGCAACGAGCATGTCAGCAGGGGAAGTAAGTCTGGGAGCAAGAAGCAAACTGACAAAAAGAGCCACAACGTGCGCGTTGAAATAAGGAAGGCTGAGCTGTACATCTCCATCAAAAGAATAAAACTTGGAGTGCAGGAAATAATTAACGAATCGTATGAAAATTTAAAGGACCATTACCATGATGAACATAGTAGCTATATGCTGCAAACCTTTTGGAATAATCTGAAAAGTAAGAATATGGAGAGGTACATAAATCTGTCCTTGTTAAATACTTGCCTGTTCCCAGGAAACTGCCTCAAAATTTGTGTGCTCGGTGTGCAAACGCGCTTGACCGTCACAGAGTTGGCCGTCCAAATGAAAGATAAGCAACACTGGGACGTGGTCCCTCTGGGTAAGGATTTCCGCGTCCCCTACATAAATCAGAGTACCAAAATTGTCGTGGAGAGGGCAGCCGCGGTGCCGTCGGAGAGTGCAAGCAGTGATGCAAACGGCAATAACGACAGTGATGCCAACAGTGGTGACAGCGTAACGGGTCCACACCGAGGGGGAAACAGAACCAATGAAGCGACGCCCAACGAGGGCGCACACCCAGGGGATAACGCCAAAAAAATCAAAAAGGGAAAAGACAAAAATTACCCAGAAAATACAGAAAGCCGAAAAAAGAAGGGACTAAAAAAAATAGGGGGGTACCAAAAAATTAAAGACGAAATTTATTACTACATTTTATTGCCACTCATTTATAAAAATATATATGATGAATTCCACATCGATATAAACAGAGGCATTTTGCTGCATGGACCTCCAGGGTGTGGAAAAACCTTCATCGCTTTGGCAATCAAGGAGGAGTTACTACTATTGAGGAGGAAATTATCACAAATGAAGTTGAAGAACAAAATGAATCACCTAATTACATCAAAAAAGGAGGAGGACGCAACAGAGCAATGCGGACAGGCACAAACGGGCTGTCACAACCAAAGTGGGAATTTAATTGATGATCATCTCATGGACGATATCGTCCTGCCAGAAATGGAAATTCTAAAAAGTACAGACCTAATTGATAACAACAATAGTGGGTCGAAGATTAACGAACTTTTTCTAAGGTGCCATAAGAGATACAAAGAAGAAAACAAATGCTCCATCGTGTTCATTGACGAAATTGAAATTCTTTGTGAGAAGAGGGAAAATGCAAATATAAATTTATATACTTCTTCTTTGCTTAACAATATGGATGGTATAAAAAAGAACACACACACCATTTTAATAGGGGCAACAAACTACATTAATCAAATGGACTTAGCCTTGAGGAGAAGTGGAAGGTTTGACAAAGACATCGAGATAAATGTACCCAACTTGAAAGACCGAATTGCTATTTTTAAGAAAAAGCTAAACAGAATCCATCACAACATAAGTGTTAAGCAAATTAAAGAAATTGCAGACTTGTGCCAGTCCTTCACTTGCTCCGATATCAACGCGTTAATAAACGTCTCCATGTATATCTATTTGAGGGAAAATCGTGTTGTGTCTCGCAAGGCGTTTAGAGGGACCTTGCGGGGTTCGCACAACGGGGAGGGGGTCGAAGAAGAAGGAAAAAAAGGGCAAAAGGGAAGCGAAAATAAAGGGGAAGAATCGGGGGAACATAACGCGGCAGCAAAGGCAACCCAGGGAGTATTCCAACCTGGCGAAGCAGCGCACCTCCTCAAATACAAACACCTACTGAAGGGGCTAAAATATGTGAAGCCCTCCGGCATGAAAGAACTTTACGTAGATATCCCCAAGACAAGAATCAAAGACATAGGGGGCTACCAATTTGTGAAGAGGTGCATTAAGGAGTGTTTAATATACCCCAAAAAATACAAACATGTGTACGAAAAATACAATATACAAAGCCCCAAGGGCATATTGCTGTATGGCCCCCCAGGGTGTTCCAAAACTCTATTCGCAAAAGCAATAGCTAGCGAAATAAACATGAATTTCATCAGTGTTAAGGGGCCAGAAATTTTTTCTAAATATGTTGGAGAATCTGAAAAGACAATTAGAAATATATTTAAGAAAGCTCGGGAAAACAATCCCTGTGTAATTTTCTTTGACGAAATTGACTCCATCGCGGTGAACAGAAATTTGAACCAAAATTTTGTCACCAACAGGGTCCTATGTCAGCTGCTAAACGAAATTGACGGAATTTACAACCGAGTCGATGTAATAATTTTGGCAGCCACCAACCGACCCGATCTTATCGATCCTGCTTTGTTAAGACCAGGAAGGTTCGATCGAATTATTTATGTCCCCCTCCCAAATTATAAGTCCAGATTATCTATTCTTAGGAAGACTCTAAAGTTTTACAAAATTAATAATATGATAAATGGACGGGCGGGAAATGACTCCCCAAGTAATTCCTGCGTGGGGAACTCTCCACCCTTGAAAAGGAACCTTGCATCACAAGGGAGAGAAAACGCATCGCACCGGAATCCTTCTTCAGACACGGATAAAATGCACACTATGGAAAAACTACAAATGAAGAACGAAAAACATTATGTTGATTGTGACTTGGATTCGTGTACCCCTACGAACGCCATGCTACAGAACGAAGAGAAACCGCCAAATGGGATCGATCTTTCCATATGTGAAAAAAGTGGGGGAAATGATAAAAAGATAAATGAAGAACAATTTCCAGAGGGGGTGAACAACAGCTGTCATGTGAAGGGGGACCACCAAAAGGAACCCCTCCTCCCTCATGATAACAATTTCAAAGAGCTGTGCCAATTCTTGGCCAAGAAAACAAAAAAGTATAGCGGGGCGGAAATTGTAAATATTTGCAGAGAAGCATCCATATGTGCATTACGAGAGACTCTGAAAAAGTGCAGAAATGAAAAACAAATGCAGAGGGGATCCTTCCCCAGAAGTTCTTTGGTTAGTTTAAGCAAAGAGCATTTTGTGAAAGTCTTAAAAAAAATTAAACCGCAAACATCCGACAAGCTTATAAGGTTCTATAAAAAGTATAACGAACAAAAAAAACGGTAATTGGAATAACAATAAAATTAGCAGATGAAGAGGATGATGAAAATGAGGGAGAAGGCGATGGAACGAGAGCAGTCCCTCCTCGCTTTTGCACACACCAGTAGCAATCATTCTTTAAAAGAAACACCATATGATATAAAAAGGAGGTATCCCACATGAAGGTATTGCGCCTTCTTTTTTTTTTCTTCCTATATTCATGGTGCACTTTTATGTCTTTACTCCGTCTATAACCTTTCTGAACTTAACATGTTCGCAATTTGTTTTTGTTCCTCCGGGTGAGTTTTCATACACTCTCAATTGTGGCCACAGAGGTTCCCCTGCCCTTGTGCGCAACTAGCATTTGCGGAAATGCAGAGGTTGGCACGAGCACCCCCTTTCACGTTAAGTCGCATAAAATTATCCCAAACTCATCGACATTTCCAACATCCACGTGGGCATACCTCTTTGGTTGCTTCGCAGTGGCACAGTGATGTCATGACAATACCACGTTACCGGTTATTCCGCACCGCGCTATTGTGTACTTGGCTGCTCCCCCCTCCGTCAGAGTAGCACTATGCCGACGTGCGTGGGCGCGAAGGACGCGCACTTCCAATTGTACAAGTAGTACTTGAGCGATCCGTCGCCCTCACCGAACTTCAAGTCCTCAAATACGGATTTATTCTGCATCACTTCCAGCGCGTTAAACACATCAAAGTTGTTCCTCTTAGCCAGGAGAATCGCATCCTGCATTAAATTTTTGAATGTAGTAGTCGTGGTGACGTTGTAAAAGGAGTAAGCTGCATTCAAAGTGCTATATTTATCATTGCCCAAAATTTGTGAAGGTAAGGAATAAAAAGAAATCATGTCTTTAATTTTTCCAGCCTCTTCATTTACATAAGTATAAATAACATTCTCGATCGGAAGAAACCAGTGAGCAATTTCTTCTTTTGTAAAAACAGCATATAAATTATATTGCTCCAAGTAACTACCCAATAATTTGTGCACCCCATCGACGTCTTTTTTCTTCATTAACCTCAAATTTTTTAAATTCAGTGTGTCCTCAACTCGATACAATTTAATAGCCCTACTCATTGTTAATCTGGTGTTCAAGGAAGAAAAACCTATTTCAATTAATTTCTTCACATTTATAGATCTGTGATAATATCTTGCGTCACTTACTGGCTTGGGTAAATAAACTCCGGCTGTGTAAATAGCTTGCCAAATATTTTCTAAATTAATCCTCCTTGTAATTTCTTTAATTAAGACTGGAGCTAGCCTTTTTGACCTCAAAGTTTTGTGAACGCATAAGAAATTGACCTCGGCCATTCTTATCGTTTTCTTATGAATGCATATATCCGTTGGAATGGCACTTATGAATCCGATTAGCTTATTCGACGCATCATACTTTACGCCAATGTGCCATGATTTTAAATAATTTGGTGATGTCAAGGCCCATAGTAAAAACTCCGCAGAGTAATTAAACCGGAAAATGTTGTCGTCGTCTTCTACGTAGTTGTCTGTTAAGAGTGTATAAATTTCGCTCCGGTCCTTTTCATCCTTCACATCGCACACGTACCAGGAGTACCCTGGCGGTAGCTTGTACTCATCCTGACAAAAAACACACACACAGGTCATAAATTATAAACATATTATGCCGTTAATCGTAGCCACGGAAAAAAGGAATCGGTTTCTACAAAGAAAACATGCGCCCCATTACATGTGAGGACAAAAAAAAACCTCCATATGTGCAACTGTAGTAGGGCATATAAAAATGAACTCACTTTTCTGACATCCTCCACTTTGTTGTCACTTATGAATGGCTCGTTCACCTGCAGGGGGGGGCGGCGATGTGTGTGTGGAATATTAATCAAATAGGTTGGCTTGCCAAACCGTGCAGCTACATTGTGCATCATTTGTATGAACACAGTAATGGTGCGCATAAGGACAGTATGGACAACCGCACGTACGGGGACACTATGTACGCATGGGGTGGTGGTGCAACATGAGGTTGGCGCCTTACCGATTCGTTAAACTCGTCATTTATTTTGGGCACGGGCTGCGTGTACCAAAACTTGTAATCAATTTTGATTTTGTCCTTCGCATTTTTTATTAGCTGGTAAATGTCTCTTCCGGAAAATTCCTTCTGCGATTGGGGGAGAAATAAGAAATGGGATATACATAAGAGATAATAAATAAATAAGAGATAGGTGAAGCATGTGCGATGCGATCCCATGGAGCTCCCTACACCCCTCTGTGCCTCACATATGCGCAACTGTATATGCTCGTCGGTGAGGCATACACAGCTGCGCGTCTTTCACGAGGCAGCCATGCAACCTTTCCATCCGCTCCGTCCTTACATTATCATCGTTCATTGTTTAATGCTCGACAGGTCTGACTTCTCGTGTTCCAAAAATGGTAAAACGCGACCGCGTCTGTGTAAGCGAATTAAAAGGTATTCTCACGCATGTACGTCTACATGTACCTCTTCACGCGTACACAAATTGGGCATCTACACGTGATTCCTCCTTAAGTGTTGTAAAGCGAGTGGGTGACGAATGTCACTTATGTAGAGTAATGAAACCCTCAGTGACAAGTAAGCGTAGGAATAAACGAATTAGCATTCAGTTCGATTCATCAAAGCAAGACTTCTTTCTACATATATACTGCGTGGTTCGAATTAGTGATTAATGCTTGAACAACTGGGAGCAACGGAGGGGAGGGTTCATGTTGAGAACATTCAGATAATTTTTATTGCCCTCGAAACGACATTATCATATGCGGATTTACACGGAGGGAGAATGTTGCGTGCCCAAAAAAAAAAAAAAAAAGTGATGCAGTGAAATGGAAAACGGGGGGTTACTTTTACTTTTCATAGATTCGTTAACTCTTGAGGAGAGAGTGCGCCCAAGCATATTTGCCGATACAAAATATTTTATTAGTGTGCCTCTACAATTATATAGAAATTAATTTCATTTTTGTAATTTTCTGTCACTTGAATTTTTACGATACTTTTTTTTTTTTTGCAACGGGTATAAGCGCCATTATATTTTTTTTACGTGAAATTTGTTGCCTTAAAACGGGAATTTTACTCCTCAGGGCATATCGTTAAAAAAGGCAAAAATGTGCTATGTATGGGTTTTTTTAGTACAAAATAATACAGTTTTAAATCCGCCGTTTTAACCCTATAAACAGGGCAAAGCTTTGCCCATTCCTCGTTGCATCCTCCCACCAATTATTCTATTCTATCATTTCGTGTTTTTACCTAGTTGTCGTTTTCGAAATTGGGTGTAGGATGGCTCGACGATTAACAATTCATATCACACCTTAAAAAAATAAGATAAAGGAAAAACAACCCTCTTCTTAAGTTCTTTTTTTTTTTTCTCTCTCTCTTTTTTGTGGTGTTAAGAGAAAATAGTTGCAACATTAAGGTTGGAAGAACGTTGTGAGAGTTTAAGCTTCTTACGGATATGTGCATACATAGGTATAAACTCATTAAGCAACTTTTTCTTTTTTTCATTCCACCGAATGTGTATACACAGAGTTGTACCCTCGTTGACTCCTGCCCTTTTTTATACCCTGTTGTGATTGCACATTTTCGACACAAGTTTTGCATTATGCTGGCGAAATATAAGTATCACTGTAGAGCACAAATGAGAGCCAATCAGGGAAAACACACGGCTTAACTGAAAAAATGCAGAACAGACTCAACGAGGGAATGGTGTACTTGTGCTGCGACGAGCATGACCCTTTTGTCGCGACATGAACCCTCTACCAAAATAGACATTATTTCTCAACAGTTGTACCGCTATTCACTTCTTGTTCGCGTTAAAACTATGTTCCATTTGCATTCGAAACTTACACATGCAATTCGAACGACGTCACAAACTTATGCATTTGTGCCACGCGATACTGTTGCCCCCCCTTTTTTTCCCCTAGCTTAACACGCATATATACTTACGTACATACATGAGTAATACAATTTTGTAGTAACAAGTTGAGGTGTTCCAAATGGCAGGACGTTTTTTATAAAATAGTTCCCCTTTTGCCGCGCTTGCGAGGTTGTAGAATTTTTCAACTGCATTGGCATTTTTACACTGATTTTTTCCCTACAGCATCACACATATTTCTTAAATAATCGTTTTGACGGTCGCTTTTAACAGTTTCATTTTAGAACTCATGTCCAGGAGCATATGTCCCGTCGCCGCTCACATGTACGAATGAATGCATATCGCCCTTTCCACCTTTTTTTTTTTTTTTTTTTTTCTTGTTCGAACTGGTAATTTGTGCCCATTTTAATTCTTCAACAATATGTTAAAAGAGAAAGAAGCACAGAAGCAATGTTCCAGATTGACAAAATTTGCGGATTCGCAAATTATCAAACAAATGGCATCATATATGGGGAACACCGAAATGATGAAACCAAAAGGGAAGCAAAGTGCAGTTGATTTTTTCAAGCTAATATTGCAAAGCTACGGAACTGCATATTCCATTTTTTTTTGCTTGCATGTTTTATATGTAAAATATATGAAATGATTACTCTTCTCGAGGCTCCTTGTTCCATCTTCCTTGCCCCCTCTGTTTTTGCTCCTGTTTTTTTTTTTTTTTTTTTTTTTTTTTTTTTAACCTTCTTAGAACAGTACACGTGGTGATGCCTCTTGCTTGCTTCTCCCCTTCTGTTTTGAGATTACAAAGGAGCAAACATAGCCCATAGCAAAATAGTCTCGCAAGCAGCCAAAAAGAGTAACAAAAGGGCAATAAGCGCACTGCGCCAGAGTAAAATAGCAGGCGTTGCAGCAAAATAGCCTTAAGCCAAGAATATGCATTTTGGTTTATTGTGCCAAGGGAACAGGATGAATTACTGGAAATTGTTAACATTACGAGGAAAACGAAAAATAACGTGAAAATAATTAAAAATAAGAATTTTTGTTGTTGTTTTTTTGTTAAATACGATTTATTTATACACCACTCCACAAGTGTAGCAAAATTAAAAAATGGTATCATTGAAAGAGGCCATATCTAATGTTTTAACAAATTTAAATGTAATACGGAAAAAAACAAAAAAAAATAAAATAAGAGAGAGAAACAAAAAAAAAAAAACTTTAGCAGTTATAGACTTTACGCAACATTGACTATACACACTTCTACAAATATGTGTTGGTGTTTTTTTCCAACCTTCTCGTAAATCTGTACATTTTTCCTTTTGCACTATTCTGTCCATGTCTGGGGAAAAGTTAAAAGGAGGATTTTTTTTACAAATATGTTTATCCGCCTCCATTGTACTTGGCCTACTTGTGCCCATTCCATGCTGTCCATCCGTTGCATAAGAGGACACAACTGCTTCTATTACGCTTCTCTTAAAAGTGTTACATGTTTACACAAGTTGTGTATTCCTTTTTTGTGTGTCTCGCGCAATTATTTCATTTTTTTTCATTTTTTATCATTTTTTTTTTTTTCCCATTTTTATGTACAGAATGATCAAAAGAGGGAAATACTCAACGTATTGATCCACATTCTTCAAAAGTAAAAAAAAAAAATGAGCACTTTATCAGACGTGTGCAGATGACCAAATGAGAAACATCGCCAACGCGTTAGACACGTTCGGAGGGAGTCACACTTGTCCGTACCCTCGTTCGTGTAGCTTATCTTTGAACATCCTCTCTCATTCATATTTGCCCCTTTCCCTGCAGAATTATTGAAAATCCCTCCAGGGCAAAATTTAGATCCTTAAAAAAGGACAACAAAACATTTATTAATAAGGTACCATGGCGAAAGAGTACATTGACGGAGTTTCTACTTCATTGGCATTGCACACGTGTACTTGCATACGTGAGTACATACCTAGCATTCCTGTTTACACATGCATTCGTCCTTTTCCCCCCCTTTTCCAACCACTTAACAGTTGCTGCATTTCAATGGATCGGATGCTGTCCTGAGGTGCCTTGGGTTCGAGGAGGTAAGAGCAGCCAAACTGTGAGAAGACGGAGTGATCGACTACTCCATGGAAAACCTCCCCTACCGTGGGCAGAAAACATTCAAATAGACAATCACCCTTTTTTATCTTTTCATTTATTCCCCTTTTAAAAAAGGATGAGGAAAAATGGTTCTTTCCCGTGGCGAATGACGACACGCTGACAAGGTATGAAAGGATAGGAGAAATGTTCCCCCTCCATTTGATCACAGTGCCTTTACCCACTGCCTCGCTGGGGTGTGTCCGTTCGATTGGCACTCACCCCAAAAGGAGCTAGTCTCAAGTGTAACAATTGTACATATGCGTAACCGCTACCCCTCCCTGAAGGAACCTGAGCGAAATACAAGGCTACGTCAAGGACAACACATATGTGTCACACAATTCGGAGTCTGTGTTTGAACAGAGCCAATCGAGCCACGTGAAGAACTTTCGAAATTCTCTAAACGGCCATAGCCTCTCTTCCAATGCAAGCAACAGTGAAGAAACGATAAAAAATAATCCTGATGAACTTAAATTAGGAGGTCTCTCAAAGAGAAGACTGGAAAAGGAAAGATTGGAACTGCTAAATGAAAATGAAAACACAATTAAATTAATACAAGAATATTCAGATAAATGGATCATACAAATTAAGGGCGCCGAAAATACCTTATACTCAAATGAAACATTTAAAATGCAATTTAAGTTTACAGAGAAGTATCCAATAGGTGCGCAAAGGGAGAAATTTCGTTGGAGGGGGGGTTCAACACGTCTCGAGTTATAATCACCTTTGTGTGACTCATGGACAGTATTTACCAGTTTGTGTCTACCCCCCTCACACACGCGTGCACACATCACACCGTATCATATGTGAGCAATCCCTCGTACTAACCACGAAACCATTTCCCTCCCCTCCCTTGCAGAAAGCCCAGAAGTAATATTCATAGGAGAACCGCCCATCCACCCACACATATACAGCAATGGGCATATTTGCCTTTCAATTTTATATGACCACTGGTCTCCTGTCCTGTCCGTTAATTCCATATGCCTCTCCATCATTTCGATGCTTTCAAGCTGCACAAAAAAGAGGAAGCCAATCGACGACATGCTCTACTGTTCAGCAGGGCCAAAAGTGTCCCCAAAAAATATGAGGTGGATGTTTCACGATGATAAGGTTTAGTGGCGACCCCGCGCCATCTCCATTTGAGGTGGAAAGAAAAAAAAGAAAAAAGAAAAAAATGGACATTTCGCTTATCCCGTTAAATCCATTTTTCTTTTTTTAGTACATAACGTGCGCTCTGTTTGTGTTTGAATGCGCACATTTTTTTTTTTTTTAAATTATCCATATTGAAAAAAAAAATACTCATTTGGTCTACTAGGAAACTGGTACTGTACCAAATTGAAGAGCATAATCCAATGGGGAAACTCTCCATTGGGAAAAAAACTGGTTGACACATGAAGCGGGGTGTTGCGGCTTCCTGGCTTGCACCTCTTCTTCTGGACGCAGTTTTTTTTTTTTTTTTTTTTTTTTTTTTTTTTTTTTTTTTTTTTTTTTTTTTTTTTTTTTTTTTTTTTTTTTTTGCTCATTTTTTTCTATGTTGCATGCATATTCAACAAATTGTGATGGTGCATTTCTGTGCGAGTTGTACATAGCTCATTTATTAATCATTAAAGGAAATTTCTTCTACATTTGCTTTAACGTCTCCTAAATTGTTTTTTTTTTTTTTACACATTGTTAAATGTACCAATTTGCGCTATATGCCCCTTCATGTTTTCTCCACCATGGTAGGGTACCGTTGCAGTTACAGCCGCACCTGAGTTCCCTTCCTGTGTGGATGCTCTTGTTGGCGCCGCCAATTCCGCGGCTACTATTTTTCACCCTTTTTTTTTAATTAGTACAACTTAGCCCCACATTTTTTGTTGAGCGCACGCCGGGCCCTACCCACCCCTGCTGGCATCTAGACGTATATGTCTCATGTGCACGTATGTATATACATGCATACACACTTGAATGCACACTTACACATACATACGAACAAATGCCATGTGCGGTACGGTACCACATTGAAGAGCATAATCCAATGGGGAAACTCTCCATTGGGAAAAAAACTGGTTGACACATGAAGCGGGGTGTTGCGGCTTCCTGGCTTGCACCTCTTCTTCTGGACGCAGTTTTTTTTTTTTTTTTTTTTTTTTTTGCTCATTTTTTTCTATGTTGCATGCATATTCAACAAATTGTGATGGTGCATTTCTGTGCGAGTTGTACATAGCTCATTTATTAATCATTAAAGGAAATTTCTTCTACATTTGCTTTAACGTCTCCTAAATTGTTTTTTTTTTTTTTACACATTGTTAATGTACCAATTTGCGCTATATGCCCCTTCATGTTTTCTCCACCATGGTAGGGTACCGTTGCAGTTACAGCCGCACCTGAGTTCCCTTCCTGTGTGGATGCTCTTGTTGGCGCCGCCAATTCCGCGGCTACTATTTTTCACCCTTTTTTTTTAATTAGTACAACTTAGCCCCACATTTTTTGTTGAGCGCACGCCGGGCCCTACCCACCCCTGCTGGCATCTAGACGTATATGTCTCATGTGCACGTATGTATATACATGCATACACACTTGAATGCACACTTACACATACATACGAACAAATGCCATGTGCAGTGAGAAACCACCACTTCATCGTCCAAACCGGGAAATATACACGCATGCTGAACTCACATTAGTCAGAAGTGACTTTGCGTGAAGCAACATATAACACAACTAGTTGGCAAATTTTGCTGGTGGAGCACGGTGTCCACCTTTCCACACCCCTCTGTCGGTAAACTCTTGTCTTAATTTTCCCCTCCGATGATGTGTAATAACATAAATTTACACCCCATTTTGACGATTTTAAAAAAAAAAGCGAATAAGGAATTTTAAGGGAAAAGTTTTTTTTTTTTTGTTTTCAAAAAATTTAGGGAGCTTCTACACGTTTTTGTGTCATACATTTATGTGAGGACATGGAGGGGTAACTTGACGGATTCAATTATTCATGATGAAGAGATAAAGAGGCAAAAGGAAATTTACACAGAAAACAAAAAAATAGGTACCAATTTTTCCCTTTTTCTAATCGTCCTTTGGCATATAAGGGGTGAGACAGATCAAATTTGATAAGGAAACAAACACAACATATTAATAAGTGAAACGGAAGGGTGTAAAAATGGGATGTCATGCGCTAGGATACATGTACGTCCGCACGTATGCATCGACATACACATAAATATATGTGCATCCAAGGCTGCCGCGAAGAAAGGGGGCCGAATTAATCGCAAACACAGTCAGCGTCAAAATTATGAGAAGGGCACAAAAAAAAAAAAAAAAAACGCGTCTTATTTTTTTTTACTACCTCTTCTGTGTCTTTTCCTTCCTTTGCAAATCGAGAGACACATTATTCTCGTGTAAAATGTAACGCCTACTCAAACGCTTGAGCATCGATTGGCACGTCGCTTTTCATAATTTATGAAAGAACATCACTCAGAAGGGTGCCAATGGGGCTAGCCGCGCCTGCCCATTTCAGCGGAATATTTTATCATAAATATACCCAAAAATAGAGCTGATGGAACTTCTTTTCCCTTCCCTAACGTTTCCACTTGACTTTTTCGTGTCGTATGGTTTGTTTGTCCTGCTGAATTCGTTCGCGTTGTAGTTAGCTGTGTAGTGTTTGCCCCTTTTTGCTCTTCCTTGAAGAGGAGAATTTTTGTCGCTATGCCTTTTTGCTGATCTTGACTCGACATAATACTTCTGGTGCAAATATTCTTCGCTAGAAATTTTTATATGGCCCACTTGGTTCACTGCGTTACTCTCTCGTTGGCCATGAACCGTTTTGTCTACGTTCATTTGTACGTCGTTCTCATCCTTTACCTTTTTTTTAACATGTTTACTTTCTGTGCTCCCTTTGATTATGTCCTTTGCTTCCATTTGGTAGTTTTCGGACACTCGCGTGTGCTTCCCCCGTTCCTTTTCGCTTTTTCTTTTATTCGTTTTATCACTCACATCTGTATTGAACGAATTGTTGAGGGGGTTATTTGTTCTTTCTACATTGCTGCTAACGATTGGGTTATTTGGGGGCGCAATTTTGGCCTCATTTTTGGCCACACTTTTGTCTACTTTTTGTGCCACATTTTTGTTTATTTTTTTGGCTACACATTTGTCTATTTTTTTTTCCACATTTTTGTGTATTTTTTTATCCTTGATTGCAAGGGTATCTTTTTGTGCAAATTTTACTTTCTTTATTTTTTTCTTTTTGAGGCTGCTTTTAGATACTCCCGGTTGGCTCTTCGTCCTACCATCATTCACGCTGGCGCTAGCACTAGAGCAAATGCCCTTGTCTTTTTTTTTCTTCTTTGTAGTACTCGCATTGGCCACGTTTCTTCTATTAATGGAGCAATTTTGCTTGCTACTCACGCTACGGTTGCCCTTCATGGAGAAGGCTTTACTAATTATGAGCGAATTAAATTTATTATAGTTTGTGCTTTTTCCCTTGGTTACTCTGTCTAAAGAAATATTGGACCTTTGTTTCACCAGCGTGTTACTCTGCAACAGCATCATTTTTTTTTTTTTTTCTTCCTTCTTCCATTTTTTCACTTTAATAAATAACTTAGCAACTTCTTCTGCGTACATCTCCAGGTACAAAGATATTTCATGCTTTATAGAATTCACGTAATGACTCCTCATCGAGCTTGCACTGTGGCTGGTCACTCTAGACTCTTCTGCCTTTCTCCAATTAACCTGTTCATTTTTCAATTGATGTTCGTATGCGTATAGGAATATCCTTTTTGATTCTTCAATGTCGTAGGCCCTCACCTTTGCTTTCTTCCTCGCCCCGCCCGTGGTAACCATGTTGTTCGTCTGCTTGGTATTTGTGGAGTTATTTTTTGTCGCAAAATTGAGCCAGTAAGTATCCTCCCCTTTTTTTGGTGAATTTGCTTCCTCTGTGCATGCCCTTCCCGGGACACTCTGAAAAGACAAAAGAACCGAGACGCACACTTCCAATTTTGCACAAGTGAAGGGTTCTCGAAAGGAAAGAAAATTGAGAGGGGATTATTTTGCAGACACCCCAAAATGGTTATGTGCAGATGTAGAATTAAAAACGCGCCCTTAAAAAAAAGGTGAAAAGAAAATAAATACGAATTGCTATTTCCCCCAGGGACAAAAAAAAAATTTTTTTTTACTAGACAGCACAATGTGGTCCTTCGATGCTCGTTTAAATCTACTTCTTCTTTGTGACGACGTCCAAACGGTGAACTGTATTTGAGGGCGCATCGCAGGGGGTCCCTTTTACAAATTCCTTAAAATCTTCAAAAAGGAAATTATACAATTTTTTTTTTACTTTTTTTATAATATAATTGTGATTCGAATTACACCTCATTATGTGACTTTCTCAGGTGTGAGCTATGCGAACGCATGGGTAGCTAACCTACTCAGCTCAGTTTTTATTTCCTCCTCTTTGGGTAGTACCTGTTGTAGGTATGCGGTCCTCATTAGACGGGTGAGGAATCGGGACACTTTACCCTATGTGTAGATGCAATGCGTGTGACTGCATTGGGAAAATAATAAAAAAGGGGCCTCACGCAGGTGTACATATAATACATATATTTGTACGTACGCATGTACGGTGAGAAAGGCGTGTGCCTAGTTTTCGTTCACCCAAGCTAGTTGCCTTGCCCTTTTTACTAATGCACTGTTTTTACATTTCATTTTAACGCTATCGAAATTTGCATTATTTTTTGGTCCACCTCATGGATGTTTCAACCCCTCCATGAAGCGTTTGTCTAACTGTTTAACGCGCAAAAGAGCGTAATGGGACACACGCCCTATCAGCAGCTACATATGCATAAAACGCTGGCCCTCCATTTTGTATAGCTTCTGCTACACATGCCTTCCCGGATGTGCGTACCTGTACAGATGTAGGTCCGTGGAGATGTATATCCCTGTGTGACTTTTTTTCCTCAACTAAATTATAACGTGTCTGGTTATATGGATAAAATTTATATATATATATATATTTTTTTTATACTAAAATTCACGCAAAATGTGCAATCTTTGTGCGTTTCTTTTTGCGCGAAGGAATTCGAATAGACCCGTAGAATAGCGATTAGGAAGATAAAACTAACATGTACTGAGCTTCTTCGCGAATGCATGCGCACATGTGGAGAGATGTCCCATGTTTGCTAATCTGCCCCTTATTAGGAAACACTCAAAAGAGAGAAATGGAAAAGTGAGATTTCCTAATATGTATTGCGCTGTTCTTATATTTATTTTTCGTTTGCACAATAGGGGATTCTACTTCTGCTGTACACTGTATCCCACACGGGAATAAAAACTCCAGGTTGTCTTTTTTTTTTTTTTTTTTTTTTTTTTGTTTTTATCCTACATATGTACCTTTTTCGCAACATTATGAACTACACACTGGAGACTCAGCTCTTCAGTCAAGTCAGTCTGAATCGTTAAGTTGATACGCAAGTGTAGAGGAAAACGGAGCTCTCCCTTCCGCACACACACAATATGGGGCAAACTTGCATAAAAATACGTGGCAAAATTGGCCTGGTGCCTGTGCCCTATATTTACCATCCAATGGAATATAAGCAAAACTTGGGTGTGCACAAATTAGCCCAGATTTCCCTGCGACCCCTATGGACCATATACTCGCGAAAAAAACAAACGAACGGGGACGACACAGCATAGCGCAAAAGAGTGAATCCATTGGTGTAGACATTTAAGTAATTTTTGCCCTCTCGTACTAACCACCCTTTTTCTCCCAAGCTTAGAATTCCGCATGAATGGAAAAATCATGTTGATGCGAAAAATTACACGACATCCACTGCTGATGTGTGAAAGGACAATTTCATTTGGGGCAGCTTCTATGAGGAAAATCTGAGTTGCAATTTAGGTCTGCATGTTTAAAAGAAGGGACAGCATTTAAATAAGATTATTGCAGTGTCTCTTTTTTTTTTTTTTTGTTTTTTGCACGTTCTTGCCTGGGCATAATAGCTCATATGCTTAGCTCGCACAAGATCCAATAAACTTCTAATTCGCGACACCCGGTTTTCCTTATTTTCCCGCCAACGTGTGTTGAAAGGACAAAAAATAATAGTACAAAAAAAAAAAAAAAAAAAAAAAACTCCAAATTTGGTACTCAGCTAGATTCTCCCTTTCTCAGTGTTGCTTGCACACTTAAGGGTAACTCCAAACGACGTTGCACAACCGGTGTTGTAACATGTCCTTGTGTAACGCGTTTCTGTTCCATTTTGTATTTATTTTATTTTCTCCTTCATTTTCCCCCCCTTTACTTGTAGTTACATCTATATGCTAACCCGCTCGTTTCCTATTTGCAGTACACGTTAGGTCTGCGCCAAAATGGATGCCTCAAAGAAGAAGAATAAAAACTCACTGGAGTAATGTCCCCTCAAAAAAAAAAAAAAAAAAATTCCCACCTGGCGCGTCTACTCAGTTATAATATAATTACGCCTTGATGTTCTACTTTATCCTTTTCATTTGGACCAATTGCATGCCGATGTTCCCTCTGCTCACCGTTTCAACTTTGCAACTTGGCAGGTCCTTGTCCAAGGAAGATGTTGAAACGCTTATCAGGAAATGCTACCGGGACAAGTTGGTATACGGTTATACAGAGAGAGCCAAACTGGGGAGGGAACAAAAAAAAAGGCGCTGAAATATGAGTAGCGGATCAGGCAGACCCACGTTCGAGGCGTTATTCCTGCATGAAAAAAGCGCTCCACACCCCGTCCGATTGCACACCCAATTTTACACACCCCAAAAGTGCACCCCCCATTTTACTCTTAAAGGGTTCGTCAAGTGGAAGGAATTTGACAGGAAGGACTTTAAGCAACGCCACTCAGTAAACACGTTTAAGAATATCTGGAGAATGATAAAAAGAAGGTAGGCGGAGGTGTCATTGCATGAACCGGGGAGAGGTGCATCCTCACTACGTCTTCTCCGCATGCTCACGACTTGTTGCTTCCCCCCTGACGGTCGCCCGCAGATTCGACGGCTACAAAAAGGAGTACCACGCAGTGATGCAGGACGCGGCGAGAGAAGCAAAGGACATCATCGCAGAGAAGAGAAAGAAGAAGAAAAACGCACATCTAACTGCATTAGTCCCTCTAACCTCCAAGGTGTCTCTCTCAAACATATCCCTATTAAGGAACTTCACGCGTGTAAACAGCCTCATGTTCAAAGCCTGTAGCAACTACTACAGTCCATTGAATAGCTCGAAGCAAGGCAGTCCCCAGAATTCCATTTTTCCAATTATAAAAAAAACATCAAAAGAGGATAAGGGAAAGGAAGCCCCCAAAAGGGTAGTAGATTATATAAAAAGAAACATTAATGATATTCAAAGACGAAGTGAATTCCTGGACCTCTACTTCCTAGTGATCTCATTAATACACCAAAATAAAAAATATGCCTTACTAAAAAAAATGGAAGAGTTGTATTATCAAAATAGGGTAATAAAATGCTGCAGCAATTCAAACCAAACACATAATAATAAAATTCTAATTTTTGTAAAACGGATTTTAGAAATCAGTGTACAATCTTGTAGTAGCTTAAAAACCATATGCACAAAAAGTCTGGAGAAAAAATTCGGTAGCACAAAATATATGGATAGCAAAAACTGCATCACTGTCGAAATTGATGATATGACCTACCCCTTTAGTAAAAATTGTATTAACTATAACACTTTCTACCATTTATGCAAAAGGAATTTACACCTCAGCTGCAATAAAGTTATCTGTTTCTTTATACCCCTCCCCAAAAAACCAAACCACCTGATATTCAAAAATGGACTCTTCCATTATTTTGACACACCTATATCTACCCACGACAAATTAGATGAAGATGTATACAACTACGTTTACGTCATGCAAAAATATTTTCTCTCCTTCAAATTCTGGCAGTTTTACCTGTCCTATCAGGGCATAGATAAAATGAAAAAACTTTTTAATAGAGAAGTGGACGAATTGAATTCCTTCTTCGATCTCAATTATACAAAAAAGGATACAATAATGCGTGGAAGAAAACCATTTCCAAATTTTAAAAAAAATGTCCACAACACCTTTTTGCTCCTTTTTGATTATAACATTGAACATTTAATTTCCTTATCTCTCTACGCCATAAAACTGTATTTGAAAATTCGAAAAAAAAGAGACCTCACCTATATCAGGATTGTCAAAATGTTAAATTTATCTCTACACCCGGGTGGGAAAAAAAAAATCATGCGCTTTTATTACTCTCACCTTAGATTTATTCACAGCGTTCTTCTCAAACTCGGCTCGAGATTGCCGCGGCGGCTTCCTCGCTAATGTACCTTCATGCACGAGATTTCATTTTTTTTTAATAACTTTTTAATAAGTTTTAAATACGCGTGTGTGCATTGTTTTGGTCCCTATTCAACTTTAATGAACATTTGCTTAAAACGTTCCTTTTAAATGATGGTGAACGCGGAAGTTGTTTGGGGGCATGCATAGGCATACAGTAGGCATGCGTGAGCATGTGTTGACACGATTAAGCGCAGACACACACACACACAGACGCGCTCGAACTCGATGGACATATTTCCATGAACGTAGGTTTGACGCAAATGTACATGTTTTCCCCACGTGCTTGCCTTTTGAAAAACAATTTTTTTTATTCATTAAAAAAAAAAAAATGTTAAGAAGTGAATCTTGGGTGACTTTAGAAAAAAAAAAAAAAAAAAAGGAGAATGATGTGTCATCTTTGGGGGTCTTTGTTTTAAAAGGACCTACGCCGAGTCAACGTCGACGCGATGGTACATATCTGCCTCTGCGTATACATTTACGCCTACGTGGCATCTGTGTGTGGGTTTCTGCTGTGTTGTCTTATCCTTTTGCGAAGGGATGCGTTGTTGTGGGTCACTTGTTAGGGAGCTATACTTTGCGCACCGACGAGGTAACAGCACTTTGGTCATTTATATCTTGCCCTTTTTTCCTCCCTGCAGGGGTATCAAAGGTATAACTCAAGGGAGCTAGTTCGCCATTTGGGGGGCACTCTACTTTTTCGTTTTCTGTGTTTTCAAAATATTTTTCTTAACTTTTTTATCGTCCTTTTTGTCGTTTTTCTTGTCATCTTTTTTGTCCTCCTTTTTTCCCTCTTTCTTGTCTGTTTTCTTTTCTGCCTTTTTGTCTTCCTTCTTGTCTGCTTTCTTTTCTACTTTCTTATCGTCCTTTTTGTCTGTTTTTTTGTCTACTTTTTTTTCTTCCTTTTTCTCCTCCTTTTTATCTTCTTTCTTGTCTGTCTTTTTATCTTCCTTCTTATTGGGCTTTTTGTGTACCTTGTTATCCCCTTTTTTTTCTTCTTTCTTTTCCGCCTTCTTATCGTCCTTCTTTTCTGCTTTCTTTTCGTCTTTCTTCTCAGGCTTCTTCTCTGCCTTTGTGTCCTTCCCCTTGTCCTTGTCCTTGTTACCTTTGTCGATTTTTTTAATCACAGCCTTTTCACTTTTCGCCTTTTCCTTCTTGTTATCATTCGTCTTAGACTTGTCACCTTTTTGTGTCTTTCCGTCTCCACTTTTTGCATCCTTTTTGACATTCTTTTTGGCCTTATCTTCCTTCTTTTCCTTTTCGATTTTATTGACCATGCCGTTCTTCTTTGTCTTATCGTCCTTCTTAACTTTGTCGCTTTTAGTATCCTCCTTTGTTTTGGTTTCGTTAGGGACCTTCTTCATGGTGATTGCCTTTTTAGTTTTTTGTTTAATCAATTGGGCATTTTTATTTTTCATTTCTGGTGCTTTCTTTTGTTTGTCAATAGTTTTGTTTATCGTTTTTTTCTTCAAAATGGAAGTTACAACTTTGTTATTCTTAAAAGTGTGGGTATTTAATTTCTTATAATCTAAACTGACTCCTTTAATCACTCGGTTCATGGAAATATTTGAATGTTGTTTCGTGAATTGTACTTTTGCTGGAGTCACCTTTTTTTTTTTTTTTATTTTCTGTGCAATGTTCAATTTTTTTTTTTTTTTCATTTCATTCAGCTTTTCCACGTCTTTGGAGTAGTTCTCTATAAACTCGGGCAAGCTAAGCGGGGGGGAGGGCACAAAAAAAAAAAAAAAAAAAAAAAGGGAAAATGGGAAAATGGAACAGTTGCGCAGGGAGTGGAAAGAGTGACAAAACGTTGCAAAAAAAAAAAAATAATAAAATAAAATAAAAACGGCCAAAAAATTGCAAAATGTTGCAGAAAATTAAGAAAATGCA